TGTGTACATGTGACACATACATGCATAGAAAACACACACATGCATGCATATACAAAACACTCATACACACAAATACATAATACAACACACATGCACATACATACACAATACAACATATACACATACATACATATAGTCACAGACATATACAACACACATGTATACGTGTACATGGAAGGAAGGAGGGAGGGAGGGAGGGAGGGAGGAAGGAAGGAAGGAAGGAAGGAAGGAAGGAAGGAAGGAAGGAAGGAAGGAAGGAGTTTCCTTTCTTGTTTCAGACTATAAGCCTTGATGATTTCTCTTCTACTTTGAGCATATTATTATTTTTTGTTTTTATATATTCAATTCATTTGACAGAATTTTTTGTGACTGATTTGAAGAGCAAAAATATTCTGTTTTTTTAAATGAATAACTAACTATTCCAAGATACTCTAAAATACTTTTGTTTTGGAAATGAGTTTCCTGTGCGTGCTTGGGCGGCCACGTCTTCGCATTGTCTTCTTACTCTTCCCCTGTTCACTCTAGTGAAGGATCCGTTCTCAACAACCACTAAGACTGACTGGGTCAAAGTCGGTGGTGGCGGCCATGTTGCCCGGGCCTATGGTTCACTCCTCCATCCTTATCACACTTGATCCATGCTCGATCCTGGACCCACAATTCACTCTCTTTCATTTTTCTCCATAATTTCAAACACTTTGGCCCAAGATCACAGGCATCTTTTCAGTTACAATGCTGGCTAGAATTCTCGCCTTTGTTTGAAGCTGTGGGCTGCACTTGAGAGCCTTTTGTACCTGTCCATCACCCTTTCTAGATAATCCCATTTGGCTCCAGGTCTCCATAAAGCATCATTGGGCCCAAGAGGACCTAGCCTATGGGTCCATCCCTGATCTTTAACAGAACTTTAAGTTCCTTGTGTTTTCTTCTTGCTTGGTATTGTGCATGGATATGTGATGGGATCTTAAACTCTGTATTGTCCACATCAGAACCCTTGATTCTCCCTCCACCCCCCAAAATCAGTCTTGCCACTAGACTTTCTCAGCAATACTCCTTACCAAAAGATCTAAGCTGTGTTCTCAATACCTCACTTTAACATTCCAAGGGACCACTTATTCCTTCTAACACTACCTACATAATAGTAACTTTCCTCTCCATCTAGCAACACACTTCCCAGTCCAAACTTCTACCATCTTCTCATTCTTATGAAGCTCTCTTCTAGTAGGCTGCCTCAGAATCCACCCGCCACAGGAATCTCTCCCTCCCACTCTTCCTTATTCCCTCCTTCTTCCCTGTCTCTCAACCTCCTCTTTTCCTCTTCCTCTCCCCTTTTCTCCTCCTCCTCCCTCATCTTTTTCTTTATTTTCTGAGCAAGGGTTTCACTTTATAGCTCAGACTGGCATGGAACTTATGATCCTCCTACCTCCACTCTGTGGTGCTGGTATTACATGTGTGTAACACCACACCTGTCCACTATTATTTTTAACTGGATCACATCACCACCCTATCTGAAACTCACTAGTGTGTTCCCAAGACCCTTACATAAAATAGGAATTCATTACCCAGACCTATAAAGCCAGACCTGGTCCAGCTCTGCCTTTCCTCTCTAACCCCATCTTACACCACTGTGGTCTTCACACACGTCCTCCATGCATCTGTCTTATGTCTGTGAAATGCCACCAAGTTGTTCTTCCATAAAGTCCTTCATGCCACCCCTGTACCAATTCTGCAGGCCTACACTTCAGCCCTCGGTGTGGCTACAGCTGACAGTAATGGTGATCTCAGCTTGAACGTTACCTCTGGAGAGACTAAGGAGTCTAGAGCCCAACTTTCCTATGTAGTACCCTGCTGTAACAGTCTGTAATGCTTTGCTGGTGTTTTCTCATTTCTTTTATAGAATGCTGAGTTCTGTAGGATCACGGCACCCTTGCCGAGTCTTAGTTCACCCATGCTGCGATGGCTAATGTGGTTTGGAAGGAAACAGAAATGAGTCCTCACAGCTCTGGAGGCTGGGAACTCCAAGGTCAAGGTGTCAACTGATTTGGTGTCTGATGAAAGTCCATTTCCTATTTATAAAAAACTTCATGTGGGGGGCTGGAGAGATGGCTCAGTGGAGAACTGGCTGTTCTTGTAGAAGGCTCAGGTTTGAATCCCACCACCTACATCGTAGCTAACAACTGGCCATAACTCCACTTTCATGGGCTCCGACACCCTCTTCTGCCTTCTGTGGGCATTGCATGACATGGGTGTACTTATACACACATAAGCAATACACTAACACACACAGAAATAAAAATAAAGAAAAAACTTCACATGGCAGAAAGAAGAAAGCCATCTGAGTTTCCTTTATAAGGTCACTGATCCCATTCTTACAAGTGTTGCCTCAGGACCCCATAACTTCCCAAAGATCTGCCCTCCTAATACTATCACCAGAAGGATAAGATTTTAGCATATGAATTTGGAGGAGAAACATTCAGTCCATAGCATCCTGTTTAAAAATACCCAGTACATAGTAAATGCTCAGTAAATATTTGGATGTATGTTTTGAGACTGGTAAAACCCCATTAAATGTATTTGCCTATTTTTTTCATTAAAAACCATCTACTTTATTATGTTGAATTTGTCAATATTTAATATTATTAAAGAACATGCTACCCTCCTGCTACAATTCCTTTCCAAACTCAATTTTTCTAACATAGCAAAATACATACATTACAGTAACCTCTCTTGTTATCAAGTTGCACATTAGTTTGTTTTCAGGTAGAGTATAATTGGGCTGGATTGCAGGACTCACAAGCAAGCACTCTACCATTGAGCTATGGCCCATTAAATTTATCTGACATTTTTATTATTATTGTTTTGAAGAAATTGCCATTTATATAATACAATGGTTTCACATTTAAAACATTGTACATCACCTCTCTCATTTAAGCATTACATTTTAGTCCTCCGAGTTAGTGTTTTTGTTTCCCTTTTTATGTTTTGAAGTTATTTATAGTAATTATATATTTTGAAGCTGCTGAGAATACACTTTTTCTATCATTTAATTTCCAGTATATAGGCAGTATTTTACTAAACTTTTATAGAGGTCTCTTATTCAATCTAATAATTTGTGGGGTTTTTAAAAAAATTTTCTAAAGGAACTGGTCTTGGTATTTCCAAATTTTCTCAATATTTCAGCCTTTTAAAATGCTATACTTCATTCACTGGGATTGCTAAGAAAATGCTCAGTAGCAGCTGATTGTGGACACATCTGACTTGGTCAGTGTGGACCCCACTGATTAAGCCATGTTTTCATGTGTATGATTGGGGTTTCTAGTAGAAATCTTTTACCAAATCCAACATGCTCTCTCTGTAGTGTTTCTGTAATTTTAAAAAGTGGCTTCATAAATAACTGTTTTTTAGAAATGAGACTTGAAATAAGAAAATAGGATAATGGGTTTTAGGAAGTTCTACAATGTTCTAGTAACAATATTTTCTACATATTTTGTGCTTTCTTTGTAAGAGAAACAGAGTACCCAGTATTTTTGATATTTTATTCTTGGCTGTCAAAGAACCACTTTAAGGTAAAATATTTTTCTCTCTTTCAGAAATGAGGAAATCTGGGCATAAAGACACATGTAATTTATCAGAAGTCACAATATCTAATGTGTGACTAAGCAAAGATTCATATCCAGGGCAGTAAGCTCCAAAATCCACTCTCTCTCTATTCAAATTTAATTCAGGGAGGTTTTAGACTGAGTCATTCAACATGCAGAAAGATGGCAAATGTGCTGTGTTTACGGTTAATTGATAACCATGTCTAAGAATATCTGCAGATCCATAAAGAAGGGAATTTCAAAGTACAAAGCCATAGAGACATGGGTTTTGTTTTGTTTTTGTTTTTTGTTACTAACATCTATATCTATTAAAATGAACCCTTACATGTATATAAAGATGGCTGAGGAAGCTGACAGGGTGGCTCAGTGGGTGAAGGTGCTTGCTGCCAAGCCCGACAGTCCACGTCAGTCCCTGGCATGGCAGAAGGGGGGTGGAGACGCCTATAAGTGGTCTTCTAACCTCCACAGGCACATTGTGGCACATGTGAACTCTCCCATACCCCCCACAAAAATAAGTGAATAAATAAATGTAATAAAAAAATTTAAGATGCTAAAGGCACAGATAACCAAGTTGAATAGGTTAGTTATAGAACACATTCAAAACCACGTGAAGAGCTAAAAGGCACGGTCATAATAAGGACATTTCAAATGACTAGTCAATTAACCCTTAGGTTAAAATAAAAAAGCACACACACAAATAATATGCGAATAGTCAGGGCTGGACAGATGACTCAGTGGTTAAGAGTACTCACTGCTCTTGCAGAGGAGCTGGGTTCGGTTCCCAGCATCCACATGGTGGCCAATAGCCACCCTGTTCCAGGGGATCCAATTCCTCTTCTGGGCTTTGCAGGCATTGCATGCACATGGTGCACTTACATGCATGCAGGCAAAACACTCAAACACATAAAAAGATCTTTGAAGACTTCTTTAAAAGGATATGACTAGCCAGAGTACTTTAAAAATATACCTAGTAATTTAAACCAAATATGACCTAGAGTAACATGGTTGCCCAGTCTACTGAACATAATTTCAGGATGTGTGAATATCATTGTTAATTCACACAGCAAGAAGTCAACAGAACCACTCCCCATATACAGAAATATATATTTAATTCTAGTAATTATATCTTAATTGGTCATAACTTAATGACAGTATTCATCACAGTAAGAGATCTATTTCAGTAAGCCCAGGAGGAAGAAGAAGAAAATTTCAGGATGTGGAACCCTACGGCTTCCCTTAGGGATTAGGTGATTCCTCGGGAACACGAAGTTCACAGAGCAATACAGTCAACTAGGGCTCACCTGCCTTAGAGTCAGATAAAAAAATAAAAAACTCCAACAGAAAGGACACCAATAAAAAAGTCACCATTGCATATCTGTGTCACTGACAGCTCCTGTCTCTACTTACTGCCACTCCCGTCTTATAGAGGAGGTAATGTACAGTCTGTGTGACATCAGCGGCATGCATCAGGTTGTGGTAAGGATTTTTATGCTTGCTGTATCCCACTTCCAAGGCCTCCACAAATGAGACAAGCGCAGAAATGGGGATCTGAAAGAGAAGCACAAGCACCATTCAGTAAGGACCGAACTGCTTTAAGATCTCTAGGTTCCCTTCTTGCTCCTTTCCGACATGTCGTATACCAAATGAGGAAATCACAGTTTTCACACTTAATAGAATTCACTGGGTAGATTGCCAGATGATTTGAAAGTTGCATGCCAGGCTCTTGGTTGAAGACTACTCAGTCTTACAAATTGTTCTCCTCAACTCAGGCAAAGGCATTTTGTTTTATTCACTTGCAAACCAGTGATTTTTTAAGTATCCATAGAAAACCAAGTTACTGGTGATAACTAAAGTTTTCTCTTTGTTTCTATCTATCCTTAGTCTTCTCCCCCAATCCTAAGTGGGAAGAGATGCTATACAAGATGTCTAATGATATCATAAACAACATTGAGGTACTTAAGAATAACACTAGTAGTCACCACAGTTTATGGACTCATTAACCATTTATAACATTACCAGCAGAAGACCTTCAATACTGCAAGTCACCAATTATAGACTATCAAGTGATAAATAAAAGAGCACAACTTGTTCCTGTTCCCACATAGACCGACTGTCACACTGTGAGGTTTTTTCCCCTCATGACTCCTCTGAAAGGACATGACTTTCAGGAAGTCACACTGGTGCAGTTTACATCTGTTTTGCAAATTGCTTTATAACTTGAGAGTTTTGTATACTTTATAATTTCCCACAAACAGATGAGGTATGCTTGGTAGTACCTGTTCATTTATTTCTCAAGACAGAAAATATTTGAAGATTTTCTTAAAACTGTCAGAACATTGAGATAGTGTTCCCAGATGGTTTAATGTGTAGACTCAAAAGTGTAGACTATACGTGGCTTGCTTTCCCATATAATAGAGCAAAGAAGAATATAAAATGTTATGTACAAAATAAGAGAACCCTAGTGATATAATCGTGCAACCTTACTAGATCAGCGATATGGTTTAAGTTAAATTCCACAAAAAAACATTGGGTGAGCGGCCGAGGGTATGTGTTCCCAGAGACTAACAGATTAAGAAAATCTAAGGAAAATGTATCTACGATAACTACACTGATCTTCTTTCACACATTCATCCTACTAATCAGTAGTATATCTTTACAAAATTAAATATGTCCTTAAAACTGAGTGTGATGGCTCATGCCTATAATCATAGTGCTCAGGGAGCAGAGGCAGGAGGATCATCACAAGTTCAAGATCAGCCAGGGCTACAGAGTAAGATCTTGTCTATGAGTCAGTGAAATGGTGTTAAGGCTTATGCACGTGCACGGGACATTTGTGCCATGAAAAGGGTCTCCAGCCTCCACATTTCATGCAGGTTTCTAACACATAATTAAGGACAGAAGGGCACTGCCATGAAGTGTTTATAGTCATGTAAGAAAAATATGCTTCAACACATTACTCCTTAGGAAAATGATAAAGGCTCACTCTGTCCGGAGAAATCAGTGTGTGTGCACAAAACAACCTACATTTTTCAGAGGCGCATCCATCCAAGCAAGAAATCTGAGGAGATGAGCCAGACAGATGTAGGAGAATGCACCGTTCCCTTGACAACCTGGTCAGACCAGAAGAAGCCCTGTAGTGTGGTGGCTGAGGGGCTGACCCTGGAGACAATGCATGTTCTTTATTTAAACTGAAGAATTAGTATGAAACATGAGTGGCTGGGAAATGTTCTGTCAAGGATGGTAAGTGGGAGCACTTGTCTGAACGAGCCACCGGGTGGGAAGGAAAGGCACAGAGGCTGCTGTGCTCAGTCTGTCTCCATTTCTGCCTCTCTGACAGGAGTGTTTGATAACACACATGATCATGCTAAAATGAGATTGGAGGGCAGCACCTGCCAGGACTCAACTACTGCAAGTGGTGCTTTCAGGAAGACTGGGCTTAACTGGTTTCCTCAGTCTCCGCCCTCCATTGAGAGTCACTTCACCAACCAAATTATACAGAGAAGCACCCTTCAGGAGGGAGTTACTCAGCACCATCAGAGTGATGCCTCGAGTTGCTCACAACAGTCTCCTATCTGTTTAAAAGGATTCTCCTAGTCTTAGCACAGAAGTCACACAAGGATGGATAGACGTGTGCAGTTCATTCATCTTTTTCAGGAGGTACTGACCTTAAAACGGCTGATCAGATCATAGCGTGTGAGTAATTCATAGAAAATGAATTTCAATGCATGATCCCCGCTGGCCTCATTGAGTGAAAAGACATCAAAGGACCATTTGTCCACATCCTGCAGGACAGAGCAGGGAGAAAGCACAGCACCTGTTAGTTCACGTCACCTATGCAGCCGCCCCTCTCCCCACTCCTGAGTCTCCCCGCAGACTGCATCTGTGATTAAACAGCTCAAGACATGTCTTCTGTCCTCAAATATTTTTCAGTGTGGTTGTAGCATATAAACACTTACTGCTAAAAAATATATCTTTATTATTTAGCAGCAATAGACATGATTATTGAGAGTATTATTGATAGCCTTTATGAAAAATGAGTGAAAAGTAATTCATCCTGAAAACAAGTCTCTTTAAAAATTTTCATTTTATTTTATTTTATGTATATAAGTGTATTGCCTGCATGTATGTAACTGTACCCATATCCTGAAACACCTGCTGGGGTCAGAAGAGGGCATCGTAGAATTTCCTGGAACTGGAGTTATGGATGGTTGTTAGCCACCATGTGGGCACTGAGAACTGAAGCTGGGCCCTTGTAAGAGCACCCAGTGCTCTTAACTGCTGAGCCATCTCACCAGCTGCCATGAAAACAAGTCTTAAGTGGTATTACGAGTCACATTAAAAAATATTTTTGTTGATTTGACTTGAGAACTTCATACAATGTAGTTGATCATTTTTAGATGTCCCCCTCCATCTCCACCTTACCCCACTTCCCCCAACCTCATGTTCTTTGTTGTTATTTTTCTATTTAAGGGCCTATATGGAGTCTAATTTATGTTCCTCAAAGCTTCTTGGTGTGAGTCCATTTCCTGAGGAATGGTCAACCTACCAGGCATCGCACCCTTTCTCATTTTACAGAAGAGAAAACTGAAAGCCACCTACTTTTCCAATGGCCCATTGCAAGTAAGGGCTTGGAACATAAGGGGGAATGAGCACCAAGGTCCCACACTTAATGCCTCCAAGGCACAGACTCCTTCCAGCAGGCACAGCAGCTACTACTGCTAAGTTCACAGCACATCTTCTCTGAATTATCTTCAACCCATCAACACTAATGGCTTCCTCTTAATCCACAGTTGACACTGCAATTTCACTGAAGTGCTCAGAAATGTGTAAAGTTGAATACAAAACAGAACACAACTAAACTTTAAACTGCTTAACTAAAACCAAAGAAAACATTCATTTCATGAGGCAGAAAAATGCTATGATCTCTGGAGTCACTAATATGGTGACCTAATTCTTCTACCTGTACATCGCTTTGTTGGAAGAAGCAAATGTAAATGTCAAAGCTAAACTTGACACACACCTTGCATGCCAGCCATGAGACTCTTATTAGTCACAAACAGCCAATTCAGAATACATGTAACTGTCATTGTGTGTGCCTTTGACATAGCAAAATCAGCCACTTGTGGGCATAATAAGCAAAGGAGTGTTTAAATAGCAGTAACAGACATTGAGTTTCCTTATCACATCATGAGTCTTACTCCTGAAGTTTCAGGAGCTGAACTTGAGTTTGGCAATGAGGGCCCATGAAAGACCACAAAGACTGCAGGCCAGGAGTTGGACGGTACCTTGACATGTCAGCAACTACCTGCATGAAAGACTATCACCCCACAACTCACTGCACCCTAAGACAATCCTGCCATTCCCTCTGATCATAACTGAATATTCCAACCATCAGGTTCAACACAAAACCACTAAGGGCTCTCTCAGGGAAACCAGGGCATAGGAAAGCTGTCATGCATAGGGGAAAACATCCCCAAAGATTCTCAACTGAATTGTTTAGATTTAAATGTAGTGATAAACTCACTTCCTTCCTCAAAATTCTCTTTCCATTAATATAATTAAAGAAGTAACATGAGAGAGGTGTTTGTACACATTCCACAAGTCCCCAACTCTAGAAAAGGGTGTTACCTTCCCCAGTGTCACAGAAGACAACGGCAGAGAGATGAAGGGTCAAATATCACATATGGACAGAACCAGATGATCCCACCAACCACCCCTTGTGAACTCCCTGCTGACAGATGACACCTGTAAGCCCAGTGAATCCATTTTGCGACCCAGGCCTCACTCCCTAAATGCCCAACAAGGGCTCAGGCCATAGAGAGAAGTCTGGTTGAGATTTGCCAACACCCCGGAGCTTCATTTCAGTTGCTATAACTGGTCTAGCAAGGGCCACAGTCAGTGTCTGACCCTTACTCCTGAAGAAAAGGCAACCCACTACTCAGAAATGGGAGGGTAAATACAGAGAAGTGGAGGTTTTCTTTGGGCCTTCATTTGAAGGAAATCTTAACCGTGATCCACAAATTTTAATATCTTTCCAAGACACTTAGAAGGTCACTAAAATGTTGATTGAGGCTGTTGTGGGACTCTGAAGGATCCTGGCCTAAGATCTGCATTTTAACAAGCATCCAATTTAACTGAATTAAGCCATTTTTTTTCCTCCCCTACCAAATTTTGCCTAAGGGCATTTCCTATTTTTAAAAAGTGGGAGAACTTCCTGTTAGCATAGCCTAAAGAAAACCTGAATCTGTTCACTTTCTCCCTCTTTAAACCTGGAGTTTATCCAAGGGGCTACTTTCTGAGTCACAGGACAACAGCCCTTCTAAAGAATTCCCTCCTGAATTTCCACAACCTCACCCCAAAGACTAGAAAAATAGAAATTGGTGCGTACTGAATGGGGAAAAATAAAACCATGAAGAATGAAATACAACTCCATTTACAATTTGGAGTGGGTGGTTGTTAATTTTTCTCTTACCTAGATGTCACTTATGCCATGTTCTTACATTAATGGCAAAACCTAAAAGGGCATGATATAATGATTATTTTAGTGAACTGAATTATCTTAGTCTTTAGGATTTTTTTTCCTTACTAGAAGAAATAAGTTGCGGTTGACATATAAACCCCATAGCAGTGAAGTGCAAATAACCTTTCCCCCAACGGGTATATAAAAAAGGAAAAGAGACTCCATCCCCGTGCCTCTCCAACTTACCTCAGTTCACAGTCAATAAAAGACAAGTGTGGAGAACTGGAAAAATATTAGACTGTAAAAGGTTTTGAGCTTACGAGATGAATAGAGGAAAGGCAGAGAACAACAGCTTAGCCTTACTTAATACATGCATCGGTAGTACATGAGGAGAAAGGCTGTCCTTTGGAGTGAGTGCCGATTGCTGCTCTGGATAGTCTAAGTACCTTTCTGTCAGAAAGACTGTGTACTTCTGAGCGTTTCTTTTCCTTAAATGTCAAGTAACAATTTCTGAACAAAACAGATTGTTCCACATTTTTATTTTGCACATATAGCAAAGAGGCCTTGATTTGAAAGAAAGAAGAAAATATCTCAGCATCAGCATACCTACCTGTGTTTGTGTTCATGATGAAGAAATTAAGGATTAAAATATGTTTCTAATGTTCCTAAGACTTTCGCTCAATATTTCAGGTCAATTATGAAAATCAATGCAATTTCATAGTGGGTGTTAGGAAACATCAGATCTCATAAAGTGATTCAGGCTGATTAAATGGGAAACATCACTGTAAATTAGACTGATGGAGCGGGCATTAGTGTGGGGGCATGTAGCTTCTTACAGTGTGCTTTCTGCTCTTAAGTGAAGAGAAAGAAAATATGGACAGTCAAAGGAGAAATGCACATCTGTGTGTTCCAGGTCTCACAAATGCACCCAGTGAAAATCTGAGACAAAAGGAAAACCAGGATGGAATAATGAGAATTGGGCCATGGGGCTTGTTTCTCGCATGAAACTAATTAAGAGGCACTCACTACCTCCATTTCCACGAATGGGAGATTTATCTCCTGAAAACATCATCAGGTTACACAGTTCTCCATATTTCAGAGAAACACACTAGCAGACATCAGAATCCATGATGTCCCTGAATAAATGGACCAGTGCCAAGTGTAGACACCTAGTAGTGTCACCCAGCCTAGGGCATTGGACACTTGCACAGCACTAGCCTGGAGTCCAAACCGAATCAGGTTCAGAACATCAGAAACACCCTCAGACCACTGACTCTGATTTACACCTGCCTCAAAGATCACCTCTGTATTGGGGCCTGTAGAGTTGGTCTGCACAACTTCCAGCTTGCCTGATTGGGAGTAATTCTGCAGGACTCGGTCTAAGTAAGCTGAAGTCATGTTTATATGACTTCCCATGGATATTGGGCTCAGAGCAAGTCTTGGGAGAACAGCAAGATATCTGGAGAGGACAAGGGCTTTGAAGTGTGTTGTCATGCCATGAAACATAACGGGTGTCATGTGCTGGCAACACTGTGTTCAAGTCTCAACATGTCTCTGAATAATTATGGTTTTATTTTTCTTAAAGTTTGCTGGGTCTTACTTAGTTTCCTCTTCTATAAAATGGACTTGGATTGGGCAATGAGATAATGACATAATTACAACCCAACAAGATTCTAAGTTAATTTGAAGTATATTATATATATATATACACACATATATATATATATTTCATCTCCTGTAGCCTAAGATATACGAACTTCAGCATGTCAGATCACTGTACAAAACAAAAATCCATATAGAGTTTGATTTTTTATCCTAATGATGCAATACTCACAGATTAGTGCCCCTCTCTGCCCTCATCAGAGAAACTTCTTTTTTGCAGTAGATATAGGTTAACACAGAGACTCACAACTCATCAGTGTGAATAAAAGACTGCAGAGTGCTCAGACCTGGGACATCTAGCTCACACCCCTTCTTCCCAAGGCTCAGGGATCATTGTGGAAGAGGGGGCAGAAAGGTTTTAAGAGCGAGAGGCAGTAGATGACCACAAGAAAACAGCATTTTCCAGACACAAGAGGGCGTATGCACATATAAACTCAGCAGTTACAACTACATGCACAAAACCTGCACCATCTTAAGTCAGACAATAATCCCAGCATGTCTAGCATGTGGGGAGGGGGGCACAAAGCTGCTAGGTAAGGAGCTGTTAGTAATTGATAGCAGCTGACAGGGGGGAGTCAGTTTTACTAGTAGAGTGACCATGCTACAGGGGATACTTCCCCCACGACTGTTTAGGTAACAAACTAGACGTGATGGACTTGAAAAATGAAATGATGTGAAATTGGTGGGTAGGAAGGTGGGGATGGATCTGACAGGAGATATACGGGGTGAACATGATCAGAACACATTGTATGGAATTCTAAAAGAATTAATAAAATTCTATTTTTAAATTAGAAGGATATAGACTAAGAATGTAGTAAACCTGTTAGAACAGAGGATGAAAGAGCATCGAGCAAGTTGGGGCTGGAGAGGTGGCTCAGCGGTTAAGAGAACTGGCTGTTCTCTCAGAGGACCCATGTTTGATTCCCAGCACCCACATGGTGGCTAACAACCATCCTTAACTCCAGTTCCAGGGGATCCGATGCCTTCTTCTGACTTCCACAGGCATTGCACTACACGGGTCCACTTACACGCATGCAGGTAATACACTCATACACATAAAATAAAAATGACAAATTTTAAAAAAGAATAATGAAAAATTAAGAAAGCAATAACTGGGAAAAGAACAATAATAAAAGCCTCTTAATTTCTAAGAACAAATTTAACTGTATGTTTATGAGATACCATGCTCCCTACAAACCTTTAAGTAACCTTACCTTTAATGCTTCAATAACAGCTGGTGGGTAGCTCAATCCAACCATGTTTGATGTCCGTCTATACATTCTGACAAAGTTAGAGGAGAAAACATCATGTGATAGCTTATGACAAATGATTAGCATCCCAGAGATTCACACAATACAATGAAAAATGAGAAATCAGCTCATCTGGTTTTCCAAGGAACTTCAAGTTCTGAGGAATTTCCCCAAGTTACTCAAGTGACCTTAGTGATAAATTCAACAGAAGTCAAAGCAACCCTAAACTCATGAACCACTGAAAATAAGATAAAATTAAGTCTAAGTGTCCCAGGTTGGAAATTAAATTATTAAAATGGGTGACCTGCTGGGCCAGAACTAACTACGGGACAGCAGGAAGGGTATGGAGTGTGGTACTTGAACTGGATGAAGAATCCCTGTAGGCATCCCATTAGAAATATCTGTTCTCCAGAACTGCCAACAGCACTCAAGAATATATCACAGGAACCTTTGAACTTACCATGGAATTTCTAAATTGTGTAACTGTATAGCGGGGGATTAACATTTCAGTTTCAGGCGGCTAGTGAGACTGACGTGTCATGGGGTTACCCACACCCCATAAGTAAACTGTCTTCCCTGGGGCAGCAACCACAAAGCACCCCTCATCTGTTTGGACAGTAGATACCATTCCCATATTTGAGAAATGGATTCAATAGAGGATGTCCTTTTAAAAATGATGCCAAACTCAAAATTTTCAAATTGAAAAGAAGATTGAGCAAAGAGAAAACTTCTCCTAAGGATGCCATGGAGATTAAAATATGTACAATTTCACCATTTCTTATTCAAGTCTACTTGTTTCTACCCAGAAGCTTCAGTATCTATGTATCAAATTGCATTGAAGGAAGACTTCTGGTTAGGAGAAGCTGGTGTTCTCTTACTGGTTTGCTCATTAAGTGAGGAATGAATTTCACCTTTACCTCTCCACAAATATTCCAGCCTGCACTGCATGGACAATGGTCTTGAACCTGGGCTTCTCCTCACTCCTTCTGAGCATCATCCCCATCTGCCGGGTGAAGGTGGAGGCCAACCAGTCTCGGACCTCAGAAGGCACAGCATCAGACTGAATGTCACTGAGTTCATCCTCTGTATCCAGAAGTCGCCTGAACATAAGAAACATAACCAAGACACTGAAACGGGATCTCAACTTAGAGTTCCTGTTCACAGTAGCTGCTCCTCTGCTCTACCTGCAACACACGTGCAAAGAAATGGAATTAAATCACAGAGAGAGAGAGAGAGAGAGAGAGAGAGAGAGAGAGAGAGAGAGAGAAGCATTTCAGCAAGGCCCATGAAGGCTCACAATGGTATTTTGGATGGCTCCCTTGACTAGGGTAGATCTGGCCTATTCCCCCACCACCCATGTGTTAAAAGTTGTGATCCAGTCATTGATACTACTAGGAGATGGTAGGACCCAGTGGGAGATCTTTAGGCCATTAAAGACATGCCCTTCAAGGGGGTAAGGAGACCAATCCTACTTCTTCCTCCCTCCCTTCTGAACCATAAGGCAAGCAGCTTTGTTCTCCACACATTCCCACTGTGCCGTGTTGCTTGGTCACTGGTTCAGAAGCAATGGAACCAATTAACTACAGACTGGGAGTCAAAATAAACCTCTCCTTTTTATAACTTGATTATTACAGTTATGTGTTATAGTGATGGGAAGCCGATGAATACACTGAATGAAGAAACAAAGAGACAAGAAGAGTCAAACCCACCCTAGTGCAGACTCCACTGGTGACAGACAACTGCACTCAAGAACACACAGCAGCCTAAATTCTTGCAGGGCTGTGGAAGCTGACTGACATGTAAAACCTCCCTTTGAAATGCATTCACAGAGAGGCTTACGTAGTTCATACAGGTACCCATGTGGCATAATTTTATCAAAATTAATGAATGTTTAAAGACTTTGAAAAGCATTACAAAAATCACAACAACCAAGCCCTCTGAAGCAATGATCTTAAATGATGCCAAGTGATGTCCTTTTAATCTAATAGGATGTAATAGACACGTAAATTTCTAAATTCAAGGAAACTTTCCAGAGCAATGCAGTTCCTTGTTTGAGCCCAATGACTTAGCCATCTGTGGCTCTGCTTTTCTGACTTGTCTAACTTATTCATAGGTTAGATCACTAGAAAGGAACATACATAGCTGTGGTATAATAAAACCCAGAATTAAATATCATAAAAGCCCAACTAAAAATAAGTAGTAAAAGCAGATAACAATGTAAAGGTATTTTTTGTTATCATTTGTTTAAATATATAAATTTGGGTGAAGAGGAAATACTTTGGCAAAGATGGCGATACCAAATGCCCTAAATTAAAAATAAAGTATAGCACTAAAAAATAAACCAAACAATCCTTATATTGTAGCAAAATCCATTCAGATTGGAATTTGTTAAAGTAAAGCAAGATACCAAACAGACAAGAGAGGCCTGTGTGAACTAGAAAGACTCATATTCACAATTTCAACATTTTTCAAAAGAAAAGCAATTCTGGGGACTGGAGAGATGGCTCAGCAGTTAAGAACACTGGTTGTTACTGCAGAAGACCATGTTCGAATCCCAGCACCCACATGGAGCTAACAACTGTCTGTAACTCCAATCCCAGGGGAGTCTCTTCTGACCTCTGTGGGCACTGCAAGACATGGGTACACTTACCTACATGCAGGCAATACACACATACACATAAAATAAAAACAATAAATAAAAAAAAGAAAAGAAATTTTGTAATTTTCAAATGCATTTTTAGTGCCTACAATTGCTAGAATAGATGATAGATAGATAGATAGATAGATAGATAGATAGATAGATAG